TCAGCCCAGCGAGAGGGTGGTGGACTTCCGACCTCCGGAGCTGGGAGGCATAAACCTGTGCTGTTTAAAGCCTCCAAGTCTCTGGTAATTTCTTAAGACGGTCAGAGCACACAACTGCAGATAGGGTGCCTGGACAGCACCTACTGTGTGCTGGCACTGAGCCATGAGCTCACGACTTGGTGGTGTCCCAGGCTTATTCACACACAGGGCAGGGGTCACAGAGACTATTAAAGGGGGGGGCCTGGGGGTCGAGGGGCCACTTGAGTTGGGGTCCCTTCCCTCAGAGAGCAGAGTCCTGAGAGATGAGGAAGGGCCAGGAAAGGGCTTAACAAGCGGGAGAGCCTGTGGCCCTGGCCCTAGGGAAAGGGGAACCCTGTCTGCGGTGGAGGGAGGGGGGTTACAGGCCACACAGCGTCGTGCTGGCTGCAGGCAGCTGGGTATCCCTCTGCGGGCCTTGGCCCGGACCACCACGTGCTCCAGAAAGGAGCACCAATCAGCCCCCCAGGCACCGAGCACTTCTCTGTGCCCCACTGGGCGTGGAAGGCTGACCACGCGGGGCAGCCTCTGTGGGGACCTGTGCTTGCCCCCCGCCCCCCCGCCCCGGTGCAGCCAAGGACACTGAGGCCTAGACAGGGTAAAGTCTCCCTGCAGGGAAAGGGGGTGGAGATGGGCCGCTGCAACTTGCCCTTACACCCTGTGGGGACAGTGACTAGGTGGGTTCAGCAGGGGAGGGGGCAGCACCCTCCTTCCTGGCCCACCTGAGGCACCAGCTGCCAGGCAGCCCATTGGGATGCGGTAGGAAAACCTCACATAATCCTGGAGTGAAGCCCCTAAGGGCGGCGGGGGGAGGCCTGGGGGGCCTGGGGACCTGGACTTCCGGATCCCTGAGGAACTCTGGATGTCTGTGGCCCAAGGGTCAACCACCAGCCCGGTCCCCACACAAGGTCTCATCCTCTGGGGGAAGCACGGTTGGCGTCGGCAAGGAATGCCCGAATCTCCCAGGGCAGGCCTGGAGTGCTCTCAGGATTCCTGTGCAAATCGGCTCAGCCCTGGGGCCCTGATGGTGTGCTGGGGCCTGGGAGCTGGGGGGGGGTTGGTCGTGGGCCTGAGAGACCACCCAGAAGGAAAGCAGTGGTGGAGCCCGTTGTGAGTCCCCGTCCTGAGCACCCCCAACCGCTCTCCACCCCCAGCAACACACACAGCCAGCCCGGCCGGGACTGCTCCTGAGTGTGTGCCGTGCAGATGTCTGTGGTCTAGTCTCTGTCGAGCATGTGGCTGGTGTGTCACGCCTGTGTTTCTGTGTGTTTGTCTGCACCTCCGCCTGTATCTGTGTGTTTGCATGGTATACATCCCATGTGTGTCTTCCGTAACACATGTGTGGCTCGGTTGTGTCCCGTGGCATCTTCGTGTGTGTGCTGTGACCACACCTCTCTGAGCCGTGTCTGTGTGTGTGGTTTTCTGCCGCGCCTGCATCTGGGATTGGGTTGTGTTGCGTGTGACAGTTGCAGCCTGAAGGCGCACCTTCTCCTCCTGTGTAAAGCGTGCCCCCCAGCGGTGCTTCCCAACTGAGGGAGTCTGCCCCTCAGGGGGCATGTTGGCACATCTGCAGACATTTGTTTGTCACTACTGGGTGGAAGGGAGGGGCGGTGCTACTGCTCACTGGCGAGCAGAGGCCAGGGAAGCTCTGTGTCTGAGTTTTGCTTGTGTGGTGTGTCTGTGTGTGTGCGTGTCTCTGCGAGCGATGGTGTGGTGTCACTCTGTGTGCGTGCGTGGGTGGCGCCCCCACCCTGCATCCCTCTCCCCACTGAGTCACAGCAGCTGGCCCGCCCCCGGTTCTCTGGTGTTCCCAGTTCCGCACAGCACTGAGGTCCTGCAAGAGGCTGTGAGGTTTCCAGGCCTGCCAGGGCCAGGAGTCCAGTGCCCTTCCCTGGGGGGGGAAACTGAGGCCCAAGAAGAGTAGGGACTGCTGAAGCCGCACGGGCAAGGTTGGGGGGAGGCTGACAGGACACTGGCCCCTCCAGGACCTGCAGCCCCTGGGGAAGGGCGGAGTGAACTTCCCGTGGCTGGAGGGGCCGGGTGGCAGCCGGTGACCGTGAGGTTGCAAAGCCCAGGGAGGACTTCCGGCTGCTGCGGGGAGCTGCTCAGGTGAAAATGCGGCCCCCTGCCTCAGCGGCCTGCTCAGAGGTCCTGCCCCCCAGCCCCCAGGTTTCTCAGTCCTGCAGTCTAAACTCGCTCTTCCCCAGGGCACCGCCAGTCCTGCCTTCCACCACCCACCCTTGCCCTGTGGGTGTGTGGGCTTTAGCTTTCGCTCCTGTGCTACAGCCCGGATGGACCCCGAGGGACGCTGCGCTGGGTGGAACAACCCGGCCACCACAGGATGAACCCGGTGGGAGCCTGCTCACAGCAGGGCCCTGGAGGAGTCAGACCCACAGAGACAGAGAGGAGAGGGGGCAGGGGCTGTGGGAGTTAGTGTTTGATGGGCACAGAGTTTCCACCTGGGAAGGTGAGCACGTGCTGGAGACGCAACAATGCACTGAATGCCACTGAGAATGGTTAAAATGTTGAGTCTACATTATATGTATTTCACTACCGTGAAGACGAAGCTCTGTCTTCCTCCCTCTGAGAGCTGGGACTTTGGCTCCCCGCCAGAGCCGGGCACACAGTAGGTGGTCAGTGACAGCTTGAGGGAATGGAAGAGGAAGGAGGTGATGTGCCTGCAGCTGGTAGAGAGGCAGGAGGGCACAGAGAGGCGGTGACAGTTGCAGCCTGAAGGCACACCTTCTCCTCCTGTGTAAAGCGTGCCCCCCAGCGGTGCTTCCCAACTGAGGGAGTCTGCCCCTCAGGGGGCATCTTGGCACATCTGCAGACATTTGTTTGTCACTATTGGGTGGAAGGGAGGGGCGGTGCTACTGCTCACTGGCGAGCAGAGGCCAGGGAAGCTGCAAAAGACCTAGAAGGCACAGGACGCCCCCCCCACCCGGGAAGACTCAGTCAGCCCCCAATGTCAACAGTCAAAGAAAGAGAAACCCAGCTGTAGAGACACCTCCTCCTGGAAGGCCTCCTGGATTTGTCACACCTACTGCCTCACACATCCCCTTCTCTCCTGGTTACTCCAGGGCACACTAAGCAGGTGGGGTGAGCCAGGGCTGTGGCAGGATGGGGTTGGCGTCTGGGCAGCGAGGCTCCTTCCTCAAACCGCACTGGTGGTGGCCCTGTCCCAGGTGCTGAGGTTCTGAGTGAGCGCGGGGTGGAGGGCGCAATGGGGCTGCGTGGGGGTTGGCTGGGGGGCTGCGGGTGTGCAGGGCAGGACCTGCGACTTGCTCCTGCTCCTGCCCTGCAGGGCCAAGACTGGTGAGGAGGGAGGCGCAGACCCGGGCGGGCGAGAGGATCCCAGACCAGAAAGAAGAACCGACACCCTCAGGCCAGGGCCCACCCTCGCTGGCTTCCTGTTTTTCGCCCCCCTGGAGTGGGTGAGGGACCTGGGCCGTACAGCAGAGGGGAAGGGGGGGGTGCAGTCGCGTGACAGGAACCCCAGTTGAGAGCTCGCCCCCAAAGCATCCTCTTGTCTGCAGGGAACGCTGGCTGGCACCCTGCGTGACCGAGCGTGGAGCCGGAGGTACCCTCGTTGGTGGCCCTGGGCCGAGCAGAGGCGTGGGGACACTGCGACCCTCCCCAGCCCTCCTGCTCTGCCCACAGGACTGGCTCCACACTCTCTCCCCCTCTTTTCAGTGTCCTTCTCGCCAGGGCGGCCCCACTGTCCTCACAGACGCTGGGCGGAGGCCAGGCCTATTTCCCAGCTTCTCCCGAGTGGTCACCCCCGCACCCTACTCCTCCCCGAGGCTGGTCTCTTTTCCAAGCAGTCTGCTTGGCCTCCTGTAGCTGCTGCTCTGGGCTCAGTCCTAGCCCTGCCAGTCCTTCCAAAACTGCACTCCCTGGGTGTGTCCTCCTGCTTGGCCCCCAGGACTGCTCCCCAGGTCCCCTAGGCCCAGCATTGTCCTGTTTCAACCAAGCAGTCCCCAGAGACCCCTCTGATGCCCTGCTGACAATTCTCTCTCCTCTGGAAATGGCCATTCTCTGCTACCTGACAATCCACGCACTGGGCTCACAACTGGCCCAGACCAAGGCTGCGAGGGACATCTAGGGGACAGCTCGAGAGGCCCCAGCCCACGAGCGCTGTTTATTCAGCACACTTGCACCAAGGGCCCCACACCCCACACCCCACACTGGGGCCACAGGGCAATGTGATTGACAAGGCTGCACCGTCTCCCCTGTCCTGGAGTACAGTCGTTTGGGGACAGTCCAGCCTGGCCCCTCCCAGTTGGTGGATGGCCCGGCTCAGTTCTGGCTAGGACATGGGCACAGATGAGCGTCCAGCCTGGGGTGAGGAGGTAGCCCAAACCTGGAGTAGAGGGGTTGGCCCCAGCCAGTCCCTAACCAAGGGTGAGGTGGGGTGAAGGACCAGGGAACATGGTATAGGGAGAAAGAGCAGGTGGGCCAAGTGCCACCTATCAGTACAAGATTAGGCAGACTGATGGTTAGGGCTCCTGCTGGGACTCACATGGCCTGAGTTCAAGTCCTGCCTCTGCCACTTAGGAATTGTGTGACCCTGGGCAAGTTACTTTACTTTTCTGTGCCTCACACCCTTCATCCATAAGGAAGCATGGGTAACAGAAGCATCTACCACACAGGGTGACGGTGAATATTACATGTGTTGCTGCGTCTGAGATGCTAAGATGTGTACCCAGCACACCTTGCTGCTAAATTAAACTGCACAGCACAGCCACCAGCACCAGAGCACAGTTCTGTCCAGTCCCCGAGTCTCCCTTTCTCTTCCCCCTCCCCTCTCCATGCCCAGCAGTTGGGTTCAAGTCCCAACCCTACCGCTGACCCCCATCAGCAGTTTGGGCATGTGGGCTGGCATCTCAGAACCTGTTTGCTCCCCTGAGACGTGCAGACAATAATAGCTCGGACTTCACCGGGCTGCGGACGCGAGAGGTGAGGCCATGCGTGAACTCGCTTCCCTGGGGCGAGTCCTGTGCCGACAGCAGCTGGCTCTGCCCTCAGCACAGAAGGCACACCTCGGGTCGGCCTCTGCGGCCAGGACAGCGGCACGCACGGAGCTCACGTGAGTGAGTGTGAATGTGTGGTGCCTTCCACGTGCACGGGCGTGTCTGTGTGGGAGTGCCGAGAGTGTGCGCCTGGGTGAGTGTGGGAATGTGATCCTGCGCATGTGCGTGTGTCAGGGCTGGTGGTGGGAAGTTGGTGTCAGTTTGCCAGGATAAGGAGCTCTGGGCCAAGGCCTGAGGGCTGACCAGGAGGAGGTCTGCATGAGAAGGGCCGGGGGTGGTGGGCAGCAGGTGTCACGGACACCGTCTCTGGGTGTGCGGGGACCTGGCCAGGCAGAGCAGCAGCCAGCCAGAAAGATGAGTTTGCTGCAGGCACTGTGGGCTGATGGTGCAGGCATTAGGGCTACAGAAGGCCACACGCAGTGGCAGGAGCTCTTGTGCTAAAAGACCGGCCTGGTTCTGGGCCCCACCACCCTGACGAGCACCAGCAGACACCTACCAGGAGGCCGTGTGCCCGGTGGCCGAGCAGAAGAGCTCCAAGGTCACACACAGGTCCTGGGCTTGAGCCCTGGGAAGTGGGCAAACGCCTCACCCTCCCAGGGCCCTGGCTCGCCTAGCACTCCACCAATGGGCCTGCTGAGTGCCAACTGCCTAGTGGCATCTCCCACACCTCAGTGTGCCCCTCCAGTGGAGTCAGCACTGCTGCCCCAGTGCCTAGAGGGGCCCAGCCCCAGGTCTGGCCAGCGCAGGCTCAGACACGTCCAGCCACAGAACGGTGGCACTTCTGACCTCCTCAGGATGGCCAAGCACCTGGTTTGAGCTGCCAGTGATAAAAGCCGGGCCACCCCATATCTCCATTTCCCCAAGGCTCAGAGAAGGGAAGCCACTTGCCCACAGTCACACAGCAAGAGGGGTAGCCAGTGACCCCCAGGCTCATCCGCCCCGAAGTCCACGCTCTTCAGCACATAGTGCTTTCAAGTCAAGTGACTTTAAAGATGTCTCAAAAGGCTGGCAGAAGAAGTCACTGAGGCTAGCGACAGGGTCTCTGTATTTCCCGGCAGGACCTGGCACCGAGCAGATGCCTGGGAAAGGGCAGTCTCTGAAGATCCACTGTGTCCAGCACTGTGCAGACAGCCTCACGCAGAGTAACATCTCAGGTGACCCGGCCCCTCAGGAGCTGGGTCCTCTCTCAGCCCCCACTGTAGTGTGGGGAAAACCAAGGCTCTAGAAGGTTGAACTCTGGGCCCAGGCTTCCCAGGCAGCAAGACTAACAGGAGCTGAGGGTGTTTGGGGGCTTACCATGTAGCAGGCCTCATTCAAAGCATATTAGCCATTCATGTAGAGCTGACCAACACCCTAGAGTATCGGTGTTATTAATGTCATCAATTTCTTTCACTTTTTTTAAAGAGAGAGAGAGGGAGACATCAATTTGTTGTTCCACTTATCTATGCACTTACTGGTTGCTTCTTGTATATATGTGCCCTGACCGGGGATTGAACCCGCAACCGTGGCGTACTGGACAGTGCTCTAACCAACTAAGCTACCCAGCTAGGGCTTCATGTCGTCATTTTATAAATGAGGAAATTGGTTTTGAGGTTCAGCCACTTGCCCAGATCCCATGGGGACACATTTATTGAGCACCTGCCGTGTCCCTTGCACGAGATGGGCTCTCGGGCACTCAGCTCTGGTGTCAGCCTGTGACCCTGCACACCAGCTGCATCTCCTGGTTCGCTGTGAGGTGCAGCACTTTGGGCTGAGAGCCGAGCACAACCATCCAGCCGTCGCTGCACCTCTTAACCGTCAGGCGCTGAGATCTGGCCCTCCTGCTCGTGAGACGCAGACTCCAGCTGGACCTGTGACGGTGCCACCCCGGGGACTGCCTGGGCAGGTGGTGAGCACCCCATCCCTGGGAGGATCCAATCAGGGCTGCCATGGAAGAAAGCCCCTATTCAGGTGAGAGGACTCTCTGGAGCTGACCCTGACCTCCTGCTCCCCCAGGAGAGAAGAGGGGCTGCGGGGTCCCCTCTGGGAAGAAACGTGAATGTCTAGGAAAGGCCCACTCTGTGGGGGCAGATGAGCCCCACGTGGCCTTCCTGGCCCAGAGCCATGCAGAAAGGGAAGCCCCAGACACCTCCCTCTCTGACTCACACCCTGGAAACCAGAACAAAGCAGTCCCTGGGGGCCCAGGGACCAAATGGAGGGGGACCCAGAGCAAGAGAGGTTTCACAGGATGAGTCCTCACAGCCAAGATGAGGGGCAGGGGCCTGGACCTGCAGTGGAGTATCAAGGTAGAGTTTTGGGGAGCAGGACCTGGAGTGAGGCCTGGGGGCCCTGACACTGGGGAAAGAGCTAGGGAAGAGCTCAGATATGGGGAAGAACTGAGACCCCATGTCCTGTGTTTAGGGAAGGGTTCCCGGGGGGGGAGACAGGCATCAGGGTAAGGGCTGGGGTCAGAGGGGAAGGATGCCCAGGCCCCTGTAGGTGAGTGCTAGGGGCAGCTGAACCTATAAAAGGGAGGAGGGTCACAGGACAGCACAGGGTGGAGCCAGCATGTCAGGAGGGGCGCAGGGAAGCAGGGTCTCAGCTCCGGGCCCTGGGCATATCTCTCTGGACAGTGGCCTGGCCCCGAGTCAGGCTTACTGTCAGCTGCAGTATGGGCAGAAGGCACAGCAGACATCGGGCTGGATGGACAGAGGGACAGACTCGGAAACACACAGATGCAAAAATGCACATGGAGATGGAGTGAGGGGAAGGGGTACAGAGGAGGCTGGGGATCCACTGAGACCCTCGGCTCCAGAGTGGGCTCCCAGGCCTGCGGGGCTCTGAGCGGTGGGGCAGGGGCAGAGCTGGGGCCCTGCCTTCCCGCGTGCTGCTCAGTGCTCCCCATCCCTGGCAGACGTCCTGGATCTGCACGGACGGCGGCGGCGGTGCTGCCGGCCTGGGGTGCTGACTGCACTGCTGGGGCTGGTGACAACTGCGCTGTGGGCCGGGCTGCTGACTCTGCTTCTCCTGTGGCGTGAGGACACCCCCAGCCCCATGTGGCCCACCTCTCCTGTTCCCTACCAGACCTCCACTTTGAGATCCTGGGGGCCCCTCAGAGCCCAATGCCTCGGGTGCTAACCTTGGCTGTGCTGGCCCCTTCTCACATCTCTTCCTCCACTCTTGAGAGCCCCAACTCTGGCTCAGCATCCCCATCTCCCACCCTGTGGGCACCCCCACATGATACACCCAAGGGCTCCGTCCTCAGCTGGCAGGTGGGGTGTGGGTGGGTGGGGGCACCTGAGAAACCCTTCCTCTCCTCTCCTCCTGCCCAGGCTGGGACACTGTACAGGATCTGAAACAGCTGGAAGACACTGCAGCCCTGAACAGTATGGAGGGGCCAGGGTGGGAGAGGGAGGCTACAACACCAGGCTCTTGTCCTACCACTGTCAGATGCGGGAGAAGGACTGTGGGTTAGCTTGAGTCCCTCCCTGACCCGGTGTGGGGGTGACCCAGCGACTCTTGGTGAGAGGCTCTGAGAAGCACCCGATGGAGTACGAGGGAGGGGCTCTGTGACCCAGACGAGTCGCCTGTACGGTGGGCATAGTTTCAGAGCTCTGAGGTGGGAACAAGCCAAGGCTGTGCAGTGCTGAGCAGGCAGAGCAGGCACCTGGCAGCCAGCCAGCTCTCAGTGAATGCCCCTGCTTCCATGTTGAATTCTGGGAGGGACAAGGGTACACAAACTCGTTCTATTGCCTGTGCCTTCCCAAGGGCCTCTGCCATCGAGATTAGAAACTGAGCCATAACTGTGGCAACTACATGGGGGTGTCCCAGCACCTGGCACTGTGGAAGGGGTGGGGGATTTGAGACCTGCCTACCTGGCTCCTGAGGATGTGTCCTCCCTCCCTCTCCCCCAGTCTCTCAGGTTTCCAAGGACTTGGAAAGACATAAGGGTGACCAGATGGCCCAGAGGTCCCAGGGTGAGTGACTTCTGCTGGGGGTCTAGGAGAAAGAGAGGAAGGGGATTTGGGTAACATTCGGGCACAGTGTCCAGACCACCTGTGACTTGCAAAATGAGCAGCTGGCCCTCAAGTGCCTCGCTTAGAGCCAAGGGGGCACTGGGGGGACGGGGGTGCCCCTGACAGACTTACCACTGAGCCCCTCCCCTGCAAACAGAGGCTCAGGCACTGCGGACGGTGGAAGAAATCCAAGCAGAACAGAGGAGAATGAAAACCCAGGGTGAGAGACGGGGGTGGGGGGAGGGGTCCGAGAGCCGCTGGCATCACTCCTGACGCCCTCCCTGACGCCTCCACCAGACTCTGAGCTGTCCCGGGACCTGGATGGACTCCGAGAGGATCTGACCAACCTCAAGTCCCAGGGTGAGGCTTGGGAGGGTCTGCAGGCAGGGTGGGGCCAGGAGGTCCCCACGTTTGCCTGTGACCACCGCCCCCATGCGGCCCCCCAGGCTTGAACGAGAAACGTGCAGCTTTGACTTCACTGGAAAGGCTCCAGGAGGAGGTGTCCAAGCTGTGGGTGGAGCTTCGCGTGTCCAACGGTGAGCATGGGTGTCTGTGTCCTCAGGTGCGCTGGTGCATGCATGTGATGACACGATGCGTGCTCCAGTGCGAAGGGCAGGCGTGTACATGACAGGGCCGATTGGGGGTCGGGGGCGTGAGAAAGCCCTTTCTGAGTCTGGCTGCTCCCCTCCGCCGCCCTGGGGGTGGGGGTCCCACATGTCAGCTCTAGGTAAAGGCAGGCCTGTGTTCGCCGCCTCTGGGGTCTCTGTGCTGATCAGTCCTCCGCCCGCCATGGCTCGCCAGAGGGCCAACCTCAGGAAGCCCTCAGCTGCAGCCCCTCGGAAGACTGACTGATGCCGCCAGAGGGCTGTGGGGTCCCTCCCTAGTGGTGGGTGTGGGGGGCATCACGGCCTCTTCCTCATGGGTGGCCATGCCAGGGCAACGCTGGGGGGTACAAGGCTCACAAGGGTGTCCCCAGCAGGCCAGCACAGAGGGCAGATGCTCGGTCGCTGTGCCTTTAACCTGAAGCCCCACTCCCCCCACCCTGGATTTTTGGCCTTCCACCTCTGGGAAGCCCCGGCTGCCCAGCTGGGGGAGAAAAGAGGAAGGATCTGCGCCTGGTGAAGGAGCACCGCCCCCCCCCACCCGAGACCCAGTGCGGCCATGGGAATTCCAGCGGAGACCCCATGCTCCCTGGGAGTTGGGGGAGGGGTCTGGACCAGCGACCTCTGAAGGGCCACCTCGGATGGACCCCCAGCTGCAGGGCCCTCTCTCCGTGACATGTGACACACAGCCTTGCCCCTGGCCCCCGGCCCCGGGCCCCAGGCCCCCTGCCCCAAGTTTCCCTGGATGGGACCAGAGACGATCTCTTCCTGTTTTACCGCACTGGGCTGCCGGCACTGGGCTGCGGGCACTGGGCTGCGCGCAGTTCCGTGAGCGAGCAGCACCCCCCAGCTCTGCTCATCCCAGGGCTGCACGGACTTCTGTGGGCCCTAGGCCCCCACAGTTCCTCCCAAACAGCACCCTAAGAAAACCTATTTTAATTTACAAGTGACAGTGTGTTCAGCCCCCACCTGGGAGCGCTGGTGACAGTGACAGTGCCTGAGAGTTTCCTTGGGTGGGGTGGGGGTGGGGAAGCAAGGCTAGAGAGACCAAGGTGGCCCTGGGTCAAGGTCGTGGGGACCCTGCCAGGCAGCCCCCTCCTCATTCCTCACAGCCTCTCCTGGCCAATGAGAAGAAAGCCAATTCAATACCCCAGAAGGTGAGCGTGTGCTGGTGTGGAGGTCTGGGGGGACAGTGCACGGTGAAAAGGCGCCAGCAGTGCTGGCTCAGCACTGCTTGGGCTGGTGCTGACAGCATGGCCGGTGTGGCTCCGGTGTTGGGTAGGTGCTGCGGGCCAGTGTCGGTGACAATGATGCTGGTGGTAAAGGTGCTGCTGGATGTGGTAGAGTTTAGGGCCATGGCATTGGCGGTTGAGATGTTGTTGGTGACAGAGGCTTTGTGGTACTGGTGTTGGTGATCAAGCACATCCACCTGTGGACACGTTTGTGGGGAGGACGTGGGCAATCGAGGTGCTGCTGCCCATCATCCCGGGGGTCTGGGGGTGGCGCAGGGGACTGAGGTGCTGCTATCACAGGTGTGCTCATGGTGGTGTCACTGGTGGCCGGCGTGCTGGTGGCCGAGAGGTGTTTGTGTGCTGTGTCGTGGCTGCCATTCCGCTGGCAGCGGAGGCCCTTTGCGGCGCTGGCACTGGCAGCTGAGGCAGTCCCTGGTGGGACCACTCTCACACACCAGCACCAGAGCTCCAGGGAGGAAGGACCTGCGAGACTCTGTGTTAGGCTCTCTGATGGGTCTGCTTTCAGCCCGGACCCCAAAAGTGACTCCAGGAGAGATGCTGCCACCCACTCTGCTCACTGTACCCTTGGTGCCCACCATGATGTCCACCACTGGGCCCACCACAGCACCAGCCACAGTGCCCACCCTGGTGTCCACCACAGCCCCAGCCACAGCGCCCACCCTGGTGTCCGCCACAGCACCAGCCACGGCGCCCGCCCTGGTGTCCACCACAGCTGTCCTCCTGAGCCTCTCCTCCACCCCAGGCTCCATGTGTAACACGTGCCCTGAGGAGTGGGTCAGTTTCCAACAGAAGTGCTACTACTTCGGGGAGGGTGCCAAGAGGTGGATCCAGGCACGGTTCGCCTGCAGCGAACTCCATGGGCGGCTGGTCAGCATCCACAACCAGGAGGAGCAGGTGGGCTTGGCTCTGCAGAGGGTGCAGGCAGCATGGTGGCTGGGGGGAGGTGGAGCCCCAACATGGGCTTTCAGATGGCAGAGGGACCCAAGCACACCCCAGCCCTCCAGCCCTGTCCTGCTCCTCAGGACTTCCTGGCCAAATATGTCAACAAGAAGGGCTCCTGGATCGGCCTTCGAGATCTGGACATAGAGGGGGAATTTGTCTGGATGGACGGGAGCCCCCTGGAGTATAGGTGAGCGGCAGTGGGGGTGGGGCTCCAGGGAGGTGTTGAGCAGATGGCTCCAGGTCCAGGCTCGGAGGGGCCACTCTGCGATGAGGGCACGGTAGGTGGGGGAGTGCAGGGGGGATGGTGGTAGAGAGGGGGTGGGGATCTAGCAGTGGGGTAAGGACCGTGGCTCAGGGGGGTGTGTTTAGGCTGAAGCAGGGAGCCCCTCCCCCCACCCTCACCTGTCCTGACGCAAAGCCTTCTGCTCCAGCAACTGGCGGCCAGGGGAGCCCAACAACGGGGGCGAGGGCGAGGACTGCGTGATGATGTTGGGCCTCGGGCAGTGGAACGACGCCTTCTGCAACAGTCATCTCGAGGGCTGGATGTGTGACCGGTTGGCCACGTGCTGACTGCCCACCTCCCGCTCCGTCTCCCAGATGTGGACCCCGACAGCCCCCTGCCTGCCCTCCACATGTGCTCCACTTCGTGATCCCCCACCTCAATTATGGGAACAGCCAGGCCCCGAGTGGAGCGCTGCGGCCCCAGCCGAGGCCAGGTGCCTCTTTCATGGTCAAAGGGTCCCAGTGACATTTTCTCCTGCCTGAAGGAGGGCAGCTGACCCACCCCCGATTCCTGCCAACTCCCCAAAGGGCCTGTCCCCTGCCCCTCAGCCCAAGTAGCTGTCACCACCTCCCTGTCTTCAGATGTTCAGAGCTCCCCCCTCAGGAACCCCTGTGGCCAGCCTGGAGGCTGGGAGCTCCCACCACAGGCAACCCTCTGGGCAGCCCAGCTTTGCAGGGGGCAGCGGAGGCCCCTGTGTGCCTCCTCCGTCAACCCACCTCACCTGCCCCTGCAGGAGTCAGGAGCAGAGCCCACCTTCATCCTCCCTAGATGTAGCCCCTCCCTGCCCTGGCCCCACAGCTCCAAGAGAGCCCTGCCTGCATTGTACACACCCTCCTGAGGGGCCTCCCTAGCTTCGGCCTCCAGGTGTGGAAGGTGGGAGCTGGGAGCTCCAGCACCTGGTGTCTGAGGCCACCTCTGTGCACTGAGAACAGCTGAGGTGGCATTCAGACCTGACCACCCCTTCTCCCTGCTGTGTTACAAGAAGCATGCCCTAGGCGGGGCGGGAGGTGAGGGCTCTGGGCCCCAGTGGAGCACCGGGCATCCAGGGTCCCCTGGCAATGCCACCGCAGGGTGAAGCAGTGCCCTGCCCCGAGCCTGGCTCCACGCTCAGGCCACCAGGGAAAGGGCCTGAGTTGACGCACGGCCCAGGACAGAAGGTGCTCACAAAGTGCTAGCTGGCTGAAGGGACTGGGGGGGGGGGGGCAGGCCCAGTCACCTGGCAGTTGAGGTCGAGACTCCTGCCCCACTGTCCCTCAGGGGCGGAGGCAACACCAGGCCCAGGCTTGGCCAAGATCAGCCTGGTGCTGAAGCAGGAGGGCAGCAGGCCAGGCTCTCCGGACACCCGTCGTTGAACTCCTCGCCTGCCTGTCCCACCCCCAACTTCTGGCCCAGAGAAGAGCCAGACATAGGCACACAATTCTCAGGGCCCCTTGAGGGAGAGGAAGAGTCTAGGCACACATGCCCATGATGGACCGCCTGGGACACAGGGGGCCAAGGGCCAGCCGTGGCCCCAGGGCTGGGCAGCGCACTGTAGTGGCACCTGGGAGTCCTGGGGCTCAGGACGAGGCAGGGAAAGAGCTAGAACCTGACTGAAACCTGGGCCGGAATCCCAGACACACGGAGTTGTCTCCTCCCCTGAGCTGGTGTGGTCTCACCCTCCACTGTCCCAAACCTTTCACATGCATCCTCTGCCCTTACAGAATGGCCACCCTCAGCTCCCCACTGCTCCTGGAACTCTTCCGCTCATGCCAGCCTCAGGGCCTCTACACGTGCATCCCCCAACTCCTCAGCAAAACCTGTCCTCAGCACCCCTCACTTAAAATGACACCCCAACTCTGACTTTCTGCCCCATTGTACACTCTCATCACAACCCGAAATGTTGAATTAACCAATCTGTCACTGCCCATCTCTGCTGGCTAGAATGTGGCTTCAGGGCAGGGGCCTTTGTCTTGTTCTCAGCTGTGTCCCCAACACCTGGTGTGGTAGGCACTCAATAAATACGTCAAACTAATGGATGACCATGGGTGACTGACATCTTCTTTGGGAACCTGCTGAGGCCTGTTTGAGTAAGGAGGGGCTGCCTGCCAGTCTCTAAAGGGCTGGGGCCAGGCCCCTCCTCCTCAGCTGAGGGGCCTCCAGCTCCCAGCCACTGAGGCAGGAGCCACAGCTGCCTGTCCCCCCCCCCCCCCAAAAAAAAAACAGGTGCCCAGTCCCACATTTCACAGCTTGTCCCAAGCCTGCTCCCTTCTCTATAGGACCCTCCTTATCCTCAGCAAGGAGAAACAGACCGTGGGCCCTCCCCCACCCCAGCACCTCCTCCCCAATCCGTTTCTCTCTGGAACCCTTCACTGCCGAGCCTCGAGATGGATGTGGTTGTGTTATCCTTGAGTCCCACCTTCCTACAATCTGGCCCCCAACTCTTCAGCAGGCCCTGGGAGCCTCTCCCACCAGGGTCTCTGAGAACCTCAGGCTGCTAAACCCAATGACCCCTGCAGTTCCCTCCACATTTGGGCTCTCCCTATTCTGGGTCTGTGGCTTCCATTTGTCTGATCCCCAGACCCTGACTCCCTATTGGACTCCTGTCGCCACCCTAACCACCCCTTTCCCCAGCTCCCTGGGAGCTAAGTTATCTTTCTGACCACCTTTGTGCTACATGCACTGAGTGCCCAGTCGTCGTCATATCTGTCCTATAGACACTCACTGCCTTCACAAAACCTGCCCGCCTCCTCGCCTCTTGCTGGGATGACTGAGAAGGCCCAACCATGTCGGGGCCCCTGGCCCCCTCTCGTGCCTCCCTGTGCAGTGAGCACTGAAACAGCACATTGGAAAGCTGCCGCATGCTGCCCTTAAAGCCTCTGCAGGCAGTGAGGGCCCGGCAGCAAGCGCCTGAGGTTCCCTTTCCAAGCAGCTTTGCTCAGCTCTTGTGGAGGGAAGGGAACAGGGAAAACTTGGACAGGTTTCCCCAGGAGTGGCAGGATTTACCCGAGGGATAGGTGTGCTCGGGGTCCTAGGGTAGCAGGGAAAAGGGAAAGGTTCACCTGAGATGTAGGATTTTTTAAACAAGGGATGTGTATCTGTGTATTGATTGTGTATTTAGAAGTTAACTTCAAACTATTTTAAGCATCCAGTTGATTCTGAAGTAAACCCACCCACTTCCCTCAAGAGCCAGGTGTCTCAGGCCACAGTTTCAAAGGGCAGCCCCCAGTACCCCAGCAGTTCCTGGGAACTTGTTAGACAGGCAAATCCTCCAGCCCACCCAGATCTGCAGCATCTGAAACTCCGGAGGGGAGGGTGGTGACACCCAGTCACTCGAGCTTTAACATCCGGTGCCCTAGCACATTGCTTCTCAAACTGAGGTACACAGGAAGCCCCTGGGTTCTTGTTAAAATGCAGATTCTGAGTGGAGAGGTCTGGGGTGGACCTGAGAATCTGCATCACCCACAAACCCTCAGGACACTGCCGGCCCCTGGACAGCTGAGTAGCAAGTCTAAAGCAGCAATAAGCCTGTTTTCCAGGGACACGACAACACCCAATCCTTGATCTACTGCTGGGTGCCAACTATTCACTACCTAGTCCCCTTTGCAGAAAGTGTGCTAGCCCCTGGTCTAAAGGAGTCTCTCTTAGCCTGGTCCCTCCCCGCCCCCTCCATCTTGCAGTCAGTCTCCAATTGTGATTCCAGAAACCGCCAGCATCTCCTTCTGACTGGTCTGTCTCCCAACCATCCCTGGACTCCCCCACCCCAACCTGAAAGCCCAACTGGGTCTAACTTGACCTTCCCCACGGTACGAACAGCCTGGACTTTGGCCTCCCTTGCCAGCTGGGGTGGGACACCAGGTCCTGTTGCGTGAGTCTCAGAGGCCCCTGTACAAAACACAAGACACACTCAGATACTCAGGAAGGGCGCTGTCTCATCCTTTATCTCCGATGGGGTCAGCGGCCCTCAAGGGCCCGGTCTCGGCTGATGACGGCCTCCTCGAATTTGATCATGAGTGTGGTGCCCTTGTGCCAGTGTGCTGTGACCTTGGCGGGGAAGCCGCTGTGTGTGAGCACGGCCTCCACGATGCCCGCAGTAAAGCTAGCACAGTTGAGCGTGCTGTTTTCCTTGGGCACAGAGATGTAGGTATTGATGAGCGGTTCCCGCTCGATAATGTAGAAGGTGCGGGCGTCATCGTTGGCCTGCTCCAGCTTGTCAGCCTCCTTGCCGAAAAGTGCCTTCCACACCACGCCCTTGACGAAGAGCAGGGCGCCCAGCACCTTGGTCTCGCGCCGGGCACCCTTTTCGCGGGCCACCAGTGCATCTAGAACACGCGCACCCACCTGGCGGCCCAACGCAGCCAGGCGCGCCTGCAGCTCAGCCACGGAGAAGACACGGCTCTGGCAGTGCTGCACCAGTTCCGAGAAGAGCAGCGCGAAGGCACTCAGGCTCACCTCAGTGCGTGGCCGTGCCAGCGCACGCTCCAGCAGCGCCGACTTCCCGCGCGTAAAGCGCGCCTCCATGCCACCCTGCCTGCAGGGAGACCAGGCAACGCCAGTGTTAGGGGACAGAGAAAGAACCCTGGGACCTTCAGCCCACCCCATCTGCTCTATCGCTGACTTCCCACATGGGAAGAGATGAGTGGAAGGAAAAGGGGCATTCACCTATGCATAAATATCGCCTCCATTACGCCTATCCAGCAAAGGACAAATACAGTAAGGAGAGGCTTAGGGGTAAGGTGTGAGGAGAGGAGTGGGACCACAAGGGGGCGCGAGAAACCCCAACCCCAAGGTGATTCCCCCGGCATGAAAAGCACCTGGGACACCAATGAGGAAACTAGTGCAGGGATGGGGGGGACATCAAACTTAGGGTCTGTAGGCGACAAGGAGGATGGGGACAGTGAGAGGACTCTGGCCTGTGCTCCCACTCTGACTTCCTTTGGTGAAGCTAATGTCCCTTCCTCTCCCCACCCCTGCCCCCAGGAAACCAGAGACACTAAAGGTGGGATTAGGGGCTGAGTGTCGAGACCAACCAACGGCGAGGACTGGAAGCTTGGTGAACGGACTAGATACACAGGGCAAACCAGGAAGGGACACTGGGAACCCTTCCAAACCCGTGTGGGGCAGCGCCAACTTATCATGCACGAAGTGCGCCTCCTTGGGGACAAGGATGGACCTGCATTTGTAAGAAAGACTGGGCGGGGATAGGGGAAGAAGGCGTTAGGAGCCCCCTACCCCCGTGCTCTCCAGAAATGTGGCTGGACAAGAGGCCTGGGTTAAAAGGAGCCAGCAGGGGACGCTGTGGTTCTCCATCCCAGCACGGAAGGGGGCTGTAGGAGACAACCCCAAGGGGGAGGGGCTAAGACCTCCACACTGTGGCTCTGCGGTGGGAGTAGCAGCAAATGGGGGGAATCCCCAGGGCGCTGAGACACCTTCTCTTACCCTCCACCCTTACCACTCAGGTGTGAAGCCACCGCCTGGGGTGGGGTCCGGAGGGGAAGATGAGAACCCATCCCCTACCAGGCAGGACGGGGCGAGAAGCCGGAGGGGTCTGCGTCGGGGATGGGAAGAGCGATGGAGTACTAGAGGCTCCAGGACGCCCCCGCCCGGGTGAGTAGCCGCCTACACGGGGAGGGCCCAGGGAGCGAGACGGGAGGCGTTGTGCTGAGAGCCCTCTATTGGGCTGCGATGGGGAGTTGTGAGCCGAACCGCGGAAAGGCCGGGGCCCCGAGACCCCGAGCGTAGCGCGAGCAGAGGGACCGAGGAGGAGTACACGCGCTCCTTGTGGTCCCCCAGGATGGGCCAGAGCGGGTGGTTCGCCCCCGCGACCCTGGCCCAGGACCCACAGGCCCGCGGGGAGGGGTCGGGAGCGGACGAGTCCCGGGGCGGGGAGGGGGGCGCGGGAGGGTAAGATCTCACCGGGAACTGCGGCCCTCAGCGCCCTCGAGCTGCTTTACGACGCCGCCGTAAAAGGCCCTACGTGCGCAGGCGCTGCGGAGGGCAACCTTGGGGACTGGGCCCGCGCACTGTGATTCCGAGACCCGCCGCTCGGGGGTTCGCGTGCCGGGGAGCGCGACCCAGGGCTGCGGGGTCCAAGGCCTGGGCCCTCGTAGGCCTTGGTGGGCCCTCGCTCAGGACAGTAGCGTGGATGGTCACGTGCTCGGGGCACGGGTTTGATGATGGGCAGGCGTCTCTGTCTCGGGGGGCTCATGCACGTACGGATACGTCTCAGGCCACAGACCCCCATGGGCACAAACTCAAGGGCACAGGGACTCAGTTACACCCTGGGACCCACTCGGGACACGGCTTTCACACACCCTCGTGTCCCTGGAGTTCCTGGTATATCGTCCACCTATTCACTGTGTGACTTTCCCCACCCGCCAAGCCCAACACCTGCAGACCCTCCCCAAAGTCCCGCAGTCGCTGCAGTAATTGATCTGAAAGCCACATGGTTTCCCCTTGGCTTTTATCTTCATGAGTCACAAAATGCGAGTGCAGAATCAGACAGGCACACGTGTGCACGTGCTCTGAACACCATCAGCGACGTGATCAGGCACACTCAACTGACACAATTGTTCACATGGGCACAGAGAGTGATGGGGCACACACCACAATGCCCACACCCACGACGATACATTCCCACGTGTGCTCCGCACACCCCCGCCATGACAGGCTTGCATACACACCATACTGCAGGACCTTTGTGCACATTCACACTGACAAGGAAACATGCATGGGCAATACGTGTCACCACACCACACTCGCACAACCACTTCTGTGGTCCCTGCTGCCACAGCCCCCTCCCAAGACATGCATGACAAAACACACTGCCTCACACCCGTGTGTCACACAGACAGTGACACAGCTGTACACACCACACTGTCTGTGACTCCTGCACTCAACATTCACCCAGTACACCTTCCAGTGGGACACACTGAAGTACCTGCCCTCCATGAAGTGTTTCCCCCACACACACACATGCGCGCGCACAAGCAACTCATTCACCACCACACAGTTTTCCATATGTGGGCATGACAG